CACTGAGAAAAATTTTCATCGGATAAACCAATTAAATAGTATGTCCGATGGTTAATTTTTCCGATTACGTTTTCCGATTAAATTATGGATATATCCGATGAAATTTATCCGATGAAATGCAATTACCGATGAAATTTCATTGAAAAACCGATCAAATTTTTCATCGGATATAAAATTTAATCGGATATATCCGTTTGTTATCATGTAATTGGATTATCCGATTATATTTAATCGGACATTTTTCTCAGTGTACTATTCCGTTTCTTAAAAATGAGTCGAACGTTTAATTGTATGTACACTATATACAGGTGAGAGTTACTTGTCGTATAAGTTTGGGTGAGCGAGTCCGTCGAGCTCTCTTGTTCGCACAAGGCCGTCGGGGGTGTGCCGCCCGTTGAGCCGGTGGCCGGCTACAAGCGTGCGTGCACTTACAAAGTGAGAGGCCTTTGCGCAGAACACCGATGCACTCGATTTGTGCACTGAACTTATGAGTCTGTCCCTGAGTGAGCACTAATTGTCAATGTGAGCTAACCCGTGAGCGCGAGCGCGATACTTTTCGTCAGCCGATGCGAACTTTACCACAGCTTACAACGACGACTTTCTCACGACGACTGGTGCTCTCTGAGCTTGCGCGCAAGCCCGGGAGCCGATTCCACGTGCCCGTCACGCGCTTGTTACACGGTCGCGCGGTCGCGCACGCGGTCCCACCGGGCCTTACGAATCACCGTGAGATGGCGAGGGCAGTACATATGAGATACCTGGAGGAATCTCAAACATCCAAATTAACCAATCTGCTCCTAAAAAGTAGTGTACAAAATAACTGCACGGAGTAGTAACTGAATTACGTCAACTTATAATTTGAAATCGCGAGGTACTTGGAGAGAACTGCACCGTGGTGGAGTCGGGAGCTGCCAAAGAGGCTGAGCCAGCAGGCTCCTGGTTTATATACAATTTTTCGGGGGTGGATCTTGGTCATGGGACGTGGAAGGAGATTTTGGATTTTGGTTCTTCATTGGTGGACTATTTGGAGGTGTCAAGGAGTTGTCTTTCTTATTGGCAACTCGACCATTAAGTCGTTGTCGCCCTTTGATATTTATTTATGGGCATCATTTCCTTCAGCGACTTTCAAAAAATCCCGAGTTTCACTTTTGGGTCATATTTTGGAAATCTGAATTTCGAAACTGTCGTCTGAAGGGGCCTGATCCCATCCTGTCTGTTGTTTCTCCCCTTTTTATTATTTCAACGGCTATCGACCAGCAACAATCAGGGCACTTTACGTTTCGAGTTTCGAAAAGTGATACTCTGGCAATCAATTTTTTGTGGGGAGGGGACTCATGCGTTGGCTAGTCGATATCCGCTGATTTCTAAAATTGTAGTTTCCAAGGGAAGAAAAACATGTTTCTTATGGTTTTTTGAAAGAGAGAAATCGTGGAGTCCACAGGACGTAACAATTAGAAGACCGCCCTTCCTTGAATTCTTGTGTTTGGAGCTCTTTCTCCAGCTATCAGAGCCGAAGTTTTTCGGAATGGGTTTGGTTTTATAAATATTATTATTTTCCTCCATCGAGGTATCTCCTATCTCGTCTATCGGACCATTATGGTCCAGGTCGCGGTATTGTATCTTATCGCTAATCTTATTTCCTATCGCTTTTATTTGATTTACGTGGCGTTTCCAAATTTTGCCACTGTCTAATTTAATTTCGTAGTGTATTTTACCTAATTTTCTAATTACGCTTTCAAAACGCCATTTGGCTTTTTTGTCTAAATATTCACGTACCGCAACTCTTTCACCGTCTCTAAAATTTCTTATTATATTATTGTACCCCAATTTCATAAGGAGGTAACAAAAATGCGACAATAAGCAGTTTAAACAATTTAATTATAAGGTTACTTGCGTAAGACCAAATATTGCGTGATCGAGCCACAGAAATCTGAACCCGTAACCTACTTTAATTTCCGCAAAGAATCAGCGAGTCTCGGCCCGATTACGAGTAATCTCGATCGAGTACCGAGAACGCTGGCAGCTCGATCATCGGGCTAAAAGCCGAAGGAAAGCCCGAGATCGAGGCAATTGCCTATCGCGCGTCATCCGATATTGTAGGGGAGACCGAAGCAAATTTTTTACATTTTATTTTTTTATTTTTGTTTACAATATTTTGTGCCTATCTTTAGTAAAATCCGAAAGTCCTTCGACAACAGAAAAATACTTATACATATACAGGATGAGTAAAAAGTACCGGACCGGTAAAATATCTCGAAAAATATAGGAGATACGGAAAAACGTTTCAGACAAAAGTTGTACGGTTTTAAAAGGGCTATATAACAATAAAATAAATTTTCGAAAAAAAAAAATTTTCATGGTTATACGAAGATCACCGCCATTTTTTGTAATAGAACCCCCTAGTTCTGATTATACATTCTTGTAGTTGACATCGAGACCTTTTCAAAACAATACAGATAAATTCTTTAAGTACTTTAAGTACTTTTCGAGATATGAGTTGACAAAGTTCAGGTATCGCTAGCATTAGCACTATCGTGTGGAGGCGATAGACAGTAGACCATGCGATATACAGCTGGTCATATCAAGAGGTATGTGATTTCTTAAATTTTCTTAAATAAAATTTTAACTTGCGAAATCCAATTTAAAAAATTGCCTGCGCACTCGACGATGTAAGTCTTGCTAGTGCTAGCGGTACTTGAACTTTGTCAACTCACATCTCGAAAGTACTTAACCAAAAAGAGTTTGTCTGTAGTGTTTTGAAAAGGTCTCGAGATCAGTTACAAGAATATGTAATAAGAAATAAGGGGTTCCATTTAAAACAATAATTTTTAAGATATTCAAAGAAAACTTGGCAACTTTTTCAATATTTATTATACGATATCCCCAAAACTGTTTATCGGGAAGTAAAATGATACAGGACTTTTTAACTTGATTTGGTGGCAAGAATATGCCGTTGCAATAGTATTCCAACTTTAGTAAATACTTGTGTACACATTTTTTTGGAGTTTTCTTGTATAGAAACTAAAAGTGAAATGCGGTAAATGGAGAGGAATGGAAGAAAGTGGTTGTGCATAGAATAGATTGTTTTTAAGATAATTTAATAAAAATTATTCCCGATTATAATATACATATAACGCCAAAGAACAAATAGCGTGCGCAAAGCGTATGTTTATGTTCTAGGAAAAATGTGTAAAAGTTATGTAAATAATTTTAGAAATATAATTACGGCGATCCAAACGGCGACAAAGATAAGTAGAGTTTTGCAGGTTTGGTGGATCCAGTAAAGCCTAAAAGTTACAATTGTATTGTTTAATAAAAATTGATATAAAATTAAAATAAAATGAACCAAATATTAGGAGACACATGTACCTTTTATATCTAATACGACTTATTTCTAGAGTACTATCATCTTCGTTGAGTAAAAAAAAGCGAATGCCTTTGAAATGATCAACAAAATATGTCGTCCAGTCAAATTTCTTCATGTAAAACATAAATAACTGTCGATCCTGTTCTTTCAAATGGTTCCACATCGCTTCAACGTTGTCGCAGGAAAAAATCCAACGCCTTGTTATAAAGGGTGCCATTGCATAAGTTGTATTATGAATCTTTCTATATAATTCCCACAATCTGAAAGATGTATAAGTTGTTCTTTACTTTATATAATTTTGTTAACTTTCCATAAAGTATCAGATATGCATTAAGCATTCATTTATACCAATTATCGTAATACCTCGGACGACGGTTCATGCAAATGCTTACGGTGTCTATAAGTAACGCCGGAAGCAAATGATAGAGCCAAATGCAAAGACGAGGTAGTATTCTCCCTCGTGATATTATTACAAAAGGCAACCATTGAGCTGTGTATATGGGATATGTCTCATTTATGTCGAGAATTTTATACAACCATTCACCCAAAGTCGGTTCATCGGCCGTCTGTGCGAAATTATACACTAACATGTCTTTGCCCCTTCTACAAGATAAAGCGATTAAAAAATAAGCGAGTTGTAATACCTCTTTATGTATCGTATTGATAAATGATTATGCATTGATGTTCACAATGTGCAATCGCGGCAGGGTTTTGTAGTAACATTAACTTTAATGGTATAGTTTAAAGACAGATAATGTTGTATGTATACTATATTGAAATAATTAATTTGTAATAGCATTGCTCGTAACAATGTTATTATATATCATCATTGTATCTATGATAATTACTTGAATTGGGTAAAGACGTCCCATGCGCTCGCGATTATAGCGTTTACGGTGTGATCGACGGGCACAAAATTTAAAGGGATGCTTGGATCGCATAGCACAAATCTTTGGAAACCGCTTATTATAGACACTAGTACTCCTACTTCTGAGAAGAAATTATCATTCCATCCGACGAGCGGTTCACGAGCGCTGGATGAAACTGAAAAATAATATATTTATTATTTTATGTCATTGTCAGTGGTCCACAGAAATTTGCACACAAATAGAAGAAAGCCTCCTATTATGAGACTACTTCTTAATATGGGATAGCGGGGCTCCGCTAAATTAATAGGCATTATCCGTAGGTTCTACAGTCAATATATTGCCCTTGGAGTGAAATCTGTTTAGTGGTAAATTGATCATTAGATTCGTATAATTGTTGCGGAAAGAGATTTGTGATTGAATTTGGTACTATCTCATATTATTATAGAATGAGAAACTCCTGTCTCAAAATGGAGGACTTTTATCTATGATTATTATCACAATTTTTGCCACTATCTTGAAATATTATTTCTGCGATAGTACTTGTAATGACAATTACACTTGTGTAATAGAAATATATCACTTTAAGTTTATAATATGTGTTGGAAATTGCGCGAGCGGTTGCGTAGGCCTTTTCTCCAGATTTAATCTTGATACTTTACGTTATATTTTTGTACGACAGCATTTAAAATACTGAAATTAGTAGTGCTGTGTCAATAAGAAGAAAAAAGTTCACGATGAATATATTAATTTTATCGATCCAGTAATCCAGAGTGGATAATTGTATAAGCGAATAAAATTAAATATGTATTATATAAATCTGATAATAATAAATTCTCTCTGCTACGGTATAAAGTCTAATAATGAAATGAATCTACTTACCTATGGCAGGCCGAAATATTCCAATTGGTAAATTGTGGCCTTCATCTTTGAGAAGCCCTTCTGCCATTGCTTTCGTGAATGTATATGTATTCGGCCATTGTGAGACAATTCTGTTAAAATAATAGTTTAACTTTCAACACCGACGTATTTAATTTATAATCATAAGGAGAACGAATGAAATATATACTTTGTCATTTTTTCCTCGATTTCGTTTTCGGATACGGTATGTACAAACGAAATAATATCTTTGTAATTAATGGGATATGTGTAAACATGTTCTCCGATATGCTTCATGTTGAAATTCGAATATGCAGTTGATACATAAATAAATGACTGCAAGATAAATGACAAAGAATTAAGACTGCGGAAAAAAATGTTAATTGAATTGATTCCAACAACCTATGACGTTTGCGTACAAAGTAATATCTTACTAATTATCTTTATCATTAACATATGTTTATTGTTGGAAGGAAGACTTACCTTTAAGTTTGGCATAAGCTTGACGATGCTCAAAATGGTATTGGTACCGCAAATATTTACTTGTATATGAAGTTTTAATTTTTCAGTAAAGCGTATATTAGCTGCCGCGTGAAAAATTATGGATACCTAAAGTAAATACGCCATTACATAATAATATTTTAAATATATAGGAAAGGAATGACAGAGAAAGAAGAAAATTTTATTTCTCTAGTTTCTTTTACGATGGTAGTTAGATTTACATGAAATGGATATCTTTTGTTTGTATGTGTAGGAGTACGTTGTGTGCATGTGTGTGTATAGGATTAATTTTCATTAAAATATAATATAAATAAATAAATGCTGAGAATAATCTGAATTGCCTTATGAATTAGTATATTCTTGTCATTTTCCGACAATCCTAAGTTCTCGATTTCGAGATCGCCTACGATCGGCACGACTTTTTTGCGGAAATTGGGTACTTCCTTTTTCACACGGTCATAAAGCTAGAAATAATAGAATTATTTAACAAAATGCTTTACGAATACATCATGATTATTTGATATCGTTTTTCTCAGCACTCACCAAACTATTAAACATTTCATCCAGTCGTCTTTCGGGATTCTTGTCTTTTTTCGAGCGTATCAATATGTATATTGTAGAAATATCGGGACAACTTCGTAACAGTTTCTCAATTAAGATTTTTCCAAGAAAACCGGTACCTCCTACACGTTCAAATAATAAAGGAATGACGTACATATATGTACGTATGTGTACACAAGGATAGGAATAAAAATTAATAAAATAAACTTAGTAAAAATGGAGGTAACAATTAGGTTTTAATTTTTTTTCACAAATTTGGAATAAATTAAAGAAATGAAATTTGGTGATTTTCTTTAACTTGTTCCCAATTTGAGGAAAAAATAAAAACCTAACTTTTACCTCCACTTTTGGAGGAATAACTCCACAGAGAGGGACGTAGGAGTATATGCTTAAATGAAAAACCCTCCCTTAATTTTCGATAAGAATCATCTAAAATTTTTCGCACTTATTAAAAAACACTCTGCATAAGTGAAATTCTGTAAACATTTAATTTAACACTAGATTATCCTTTAGTTATTTTACAAAAGAATAAATAATCGTTAATACTAAACTTCATAGACATATTGTAAGAATATCGTGAGACATTGAATAGCCTGGAATTGTCTTAAAAGCGGTATTCATAGTCAGATCTTATATTTAAGATCGTCTTACCATCATCTTTAGATGTTCCGTAACTAATAAGAAAGAAATGCTCTTAAATTCAAGAC